TCTGTTTGTCTGATTATGTCTGTCCATCCATCCAACCGTCAATCTCTCTGTTTGATTATCTGTCTGTCCATCCATGTCTTATTATCTGTCTGTCTGTCTGGCCGTCCTTACATTTTTCTGTCTATCTGGCTGTCCATCTGTTTATCTGTCTGTCTAGCCATCTGTCAGATTGTCTGTTTGTCTATTTCTGATTGTCTATTCATCCTTCTGTCTGCCTGTAATTCCATCCATCCAATTGTCCATCCATCTGTCCGCCTGTTTGTCTGATTATCCGTGTGTCTCTCCATCTGTCGATTTGTCTGTTTGTCTTTCTCTGGCTGCCTATCCATTTTTCTGTCTGCCTGTCTGTTTTTCTGTCCATCTGTCTGTCTGTTCATCTGTCCGCCTGTCTTTTTATCTTAGTCTCATTATCTGTCTGTTCGTGTCCATCCTACTGTCTTTCTGTCTGTCTGCCTGTCTGATTCATCCATCCATCCATCCATCCATCCATGCATCCACCCATCTGTCCATCTGAATATCTGTTTGTCCATCCTTCCATCTGTCCATCTGAATATCTGTTTGTCCATCCTTCCATCTGTCCATCTGAATATCTGTTTGTCCATCTGTCCATCTGTCTGTCTGATTATCTGTCTATCTATGTCTTATTATCTGTCTGTCTATCCCTCTATTTTTTCTGTCTGTCTGTCCATCTGTCTGTCCGTCTGTCTATCTGTCTGTCTCTGTCTGTACATCTGTCCATCCATCTTTTTTATTAATTTGAGCAGTTCTCAGTTCAGATTGATTATTCATACAGTGTAATACAGTATTCCTCTCCATACTCCCTCTTCTATCTTTGTCATAAACAGTTGACTTAAAAATCTTTTAGAATCTACATAAAGCCCCATTGTGGAAGTAGATAATTACTTTATTTCACTACAATAAAGGTGGGAATTACTTTTGTTAATGATAACTTTAAAGTCTGTATGAATCACCCTGACAGTCACCTTTGATCATTTTTACTCTTGTTTATAAAGTGCACAAATTACACAGTAAAACTGCATTGAAATCATACGAAAGTACTATAAAATTAATATAGTTTACTATATACAGTTATACAGTCAGAAATATTAGCCCCCCTTTGAATTTATTTCCTTTTTAAATATTTCCCAAATGATGTTTAACAGTATGTCTGATAATATTTTTTCTTCTGGAGAAAGTCTTGTTTTATTTTGGCTTGTATAAAATCAGCTTTTAATTTTTAAAAAACCCATTTAAGATCAAAACTATTAGCCCCTTTAGGCTATTTTTTTTTTCGATAGCCTACATCTTCATTCAATAACTTGATTAATTACCCTAACCTGCCTAGTTAATCTAATTAAGCTAGTTAAGCCATTTTATATGTACCTTTAAGCTGTATAGAAGTGTCTTGAAAAATATCTAGTCAAATATTATTTACTGTCATCAGGGCAAAGATAAAATAAATCAGTGAATAGAAATGAGTTATTAAAACTATTATGTTTAGAAATGTGTTGGAAAAATCTCTCCGTTAAACAGAAATTGGGGGAAAAAATTAACAGAAGGGCTAATAATTCAAGGGGGCTAATAATTCTGATTTTAACTTTATAATATATAGCATGATTGCCTCACAGGAAGAAGGTCGCTGGTTTGAGCCCTGGCTGGGTCAGTTGGCATTTCTGTGCGGAGTTTGCATGTTCTCCTCCATGTTGGCTAGGGGTTCCTCTAGGTGCTCCGGTTTCCCCCACAGTCCAAAGACATGCGCTATAGATGAACTGAATAAGCTAAATTGGCTGTAGTGTATGTCTGTAAAGGCAGGAGTCTTTGGGTGTTTCCCAGTGTTGGGTTGCAGCTGGAAAGGCATCCGCTGCGTAAAACATTTGCTGGATAAGTTGGCGGCTCACTCTGCTGCGTGACAACCCCAGATTAATAAAGGAACTAAGCTAAAAAGAAAATGAAGGAATGAATGAATATAACATACAATAATGTTATTGCTATAATTAATTTTGAATGTCTTATGCATTTATCAGAATTTCTGCTGTGTGAACAGATCGCAAAATCATCTATTACATCATGAGCTTGATTTGCCACATAAGCACAATCAGTACTTATCATATGTTTGCATCTGGAATTTAGAAAACTGGAGAGGAATACTGTATAACAAAATAATAATCAATCTGAACTGAGAACTGGAATATTGCCTAAAACATTTATGAATAAAGCACCTTTCCATTCAACGAGTCAAAGAACACAAAATAAACTCTTCCTGATGAACTGGCGGCAAATGTGAAAAAGAAAAAATACCACAACATGGTAGGAGAAGCCACTGTGGGCCTTTTTCTTATATAATTACTGGCGCCTCAGAAGGTGAAATACAATGAACGTGCAGTGACATTTGGAGGTGAAACCACTCTTTGGGAGCACAGCAGTTTTGAGGTAATATCCTGAACCTCTGTGATGATAGACTTTGGCTGAGGAATTTTAGAATGACCAAAACAACATTTCAGATGTTTTACAAAGAGGCCAGTCCACTGGTTTGTCCATTAATGTTGTCCTATCGCACCCATTTTTTACCATCACATGATCTGTTAAAACAAAATCACATACATTTTGGATGCACATGCTAGACTTGATAAATGTGTTTCTATTGTAGTTTAAGTATTGTTCTTATCAGATAAAAATATTGTCCTACACAGTTAGTAAAAATCAATGGGAATTTATTATATTTATGGTATTTCCATAATCTTTCATGCAATACTCCAAAATGCACTTTAAACTAGGTCAAAGGAAACACAGCTATAGCGATAAGCCCAAAACAGGACATTTTGTATATGTTTATATTCATAAGAGAACACTAATATCCGTTTTAACCAAGAACTTTGCTCTCCCTCTGTGTCCTGTTTTTTTTTCTTTTTTTTTTTTTTTGCGTAAGTTTATATAATCTAACAGGAAGAATATGCAATTTACCATCACATTGTACCTGCATGAATACCAACTCAACCAGAGTTTAACAGAAAGAAGACAAACAAGACACAAGTTTGTCTTCTTTAGCTTGATGTTTAGTCTGGCTCTGACAGCCGTGCTGTGAAGGTCACATACCCTGTAGTCTTTTAGCCAAGGAGCGTGTGCAGAGGATGTTGGCTAGTTTGCTCTGTCCGTAAGCCCTGCGTGGAGAGTAAACCTTCTCACTGTTTATGTCCTCCAGATGGATGCCACTCCAAGTATGGGCCACAGATGCCACGTTGACGATCCTGGAGGGGGTTGATTTCTTTAGGAGGTCCAGCAGAAGGTAAATGAGCAGAAAATGACCTGGAGGGAGTTTGGAGAGGATAAAAATAGTCAGGGAGTTGTTTGACCTTTCATTGTTTCTCATGTCCTGTTGACCCCTCTGTGCTTTATTTGCCTTTACTTAATAAATGCATGGAAGTGGATGTGTATGGGAAGGATGTGAGCTATATGTGAGTGTTTAGGTTGCAACAGGAAGTCAACTGGGCTGGTGAATGATTAAACAGCATGAACTGTCAATTAGAGGATTCAAATACTTCACATTGGTTGGAAGTCTGAGACTTGAGTGATGAAAGCTTGACTTCTACATACAATTGGTGCTTGTTTTGAAAGAGGTCACTTTCAGGGTAACAGTATCGATTAGATGAACTGAGTATTGATTACTTCTTAATTGTTTCTGGGTTGTTGTAAAAAAAAAGTAAAAAAAATTGACTGTCTCCATTTCTTCATATACACACTTTCAAGAGTTCACACTTAGCTGATGATTAATTATAAGCTTGTTTGGCATGCTGTCCCGGGAGAGAGCCCTGAGCTCATGAGATCCTCGAGCCCAGGACTCCCTCCCGTTGCAAAGCGGGAGGGGAGTTTGAGCTCAGGTAGATCTCGGGAACTCCCCTGCTGTAGCAAGTGAATGCTCTTGAAACTAATTACTAACTAGGAGCGTGTCTATGTTGACAATTTGGCTTGTTCAATTGGCTTAATTGCATGTTTTTGGGTGGTGGGAGGAAACCGGGGAACCCGGGGGAAACCCACGTGAGCACGGGGAGAAGTGCAAAACTCCGCACAGAAATGTCTGCTAGTTTTGGTAGAGCCAGGAACCAGAGACATTCTTGCTGTGAGGCGACAGTGCTAGGCACTGGGCCACCGTGTCACCCGTCTAAGAAGGAGGCGTAGGGGAGGAAGGGGGGACTCTTCAAAACGAAGATAGCAATGGAATAAACCCCAGGGTATTTATAGTAGTTTAGGAGTCATCTGGTTGGATAGTAGTGAATTGGATAATGCGGGTCAGCTGCTAGCAATCATAAGCACGTGATCCTCTCGAAATTTGTTTATACATAAACTTCACTTCAAGAGTTCACACTTAGCTGATGATTAATTATAAGCTTGTTTGGCATGCTGTCCCGGGAGAGAGCCCTGAGCTCATGAGATCCTCGAGCCCAGGACTCCCTCCCGTTGCAAAGCGGGAGGGGAGTTTGAGCTCAGGTAGATCTCGGGAACTCCCCAAAAATGCCTTTGAATAGCTCGGGACAGCAGCCGCGTATTGAAGAGCCCCCCAAAAAGCAGGTGTAACAAGCCATATCCGGCTACTGGATATAGCGTTGATAGCTTAGGAAGAGAAGCTTCTAAGGGAGCAGAGCAAAGTAGGCTGCTAGAGCTTAGGCGGGGTGGGGGCAGGGCTGGATAGACTCCGCGGGAGTCAAGGCTCAAATATATACACCCCTGCGGGGGTGGGAGCTGGGGTTAGTTTGCTCAAGCAAGAGTCGGGAAGATTTGGGCGGTGGAGACTCTTGCATGAGAGGGTGGGAGGTGGCCAGGGCCTGAACTCCTGCGGGAGTTGAAGCTCGTTTTAGTCGCCCCTGCGGGGGCTAGAGCTGAGGATTGAGGGCCTATGCGTAAGGAAGAACATAGCGAAAGAGTGACGCTGAAGAAAGACAGTTAGCGGAGGACTCAACGCTGGAAAAGAATTGAGGAAATAGGAGGGTAAGGAGATAAGGGGGAAGATCAGAGAAGGGTAAAAGTAGCGGAAGCACTCACGCTGTAAGGAAGAAAGAAGGGGCAAATAATTGCCAGGCGGAGAATCTCAACGCCAGAAAGAAGAAAAGGAGAATATAGAAGTATATATGCATATATAAATATATATGAATATATATGGTTATTACATGGTAAGGGCCGGGCGTGGGTGGTGATTGACTCTTGCGAGAGTCGAAGCTCGGAGCGACCCCTGCGGGGGTCAGAGCTGCTGTGGGCATTTCCCCTGCTGAAGTCTGGGAAAGGGAGGGGGCGGTGGAGACTGCAGCAGGGGGTGGCCGGGGCGGGACTCTTGCGAGAGTCGAAGCTCGTTTTAGTCACTCCTGCGGGAGTTAGAGCTGAGGATTGATGGCCTATGAGAAAGGAAGAGAGGGCGGAGGAACTCGACGCCAAAGGAAGAAAAGGAGAGAGGGGATAACCTGCGTGCGTGAGCATGCACGTGCGTCTATTCCTGTTTCGGCATGTGCATGCACACGCATCGGTACAGGTATACATCGGATGTATGCGTATAACATGCGCATACATACCATTTCTAATGGCCTGGGTGGGGCGCAAATGGTGACTCTTGCGAGAGTCGAAGCTCAGCGCGACCCCTGCGGGGGTCAGAGCTATGGGGGGGGGGGCAGTAAGAGTCGGGAAGAGGGAGAGGGTAGTGCAGGCTCTTACTGGGGGTGGTAGTGAAGGGGTGGCCGGGGATGGGCTAGGGGTGACTCGCGAGAGTCGAATTCGGATTGAACCCCTGCGGGGGTCAGAGCATGGTGAGGGAAGGAGCATAGTAGGTTTGAAAGGAAAGTTAAGAGCATACATGCAACCTGCACAACATGTAGTGCCCCTATGTTCACATACTCATTGTTTGCACGCACATATGCATACTTAGACGTACACCTGTACCCATGCATATCTGCGTGCAACATGCATGTGTATGTGTGCAAACGCACGCTGTCTTTGCGCGAGCAATCACACACATTCCATGCGCACCCATACGCAAGCACACACACACACGTACTCCAGCCTACTTAGGGTCGAGCTCGTACCCCTAGTTGGAGTTTGGAATTTAGCTGATTAGGGCTAGCTGGGCTGTCTTGAGGTGGGATCGGCTGAGGCGAATGTAAGCTTTGAAGGCATCGGAGGACCAGCGGCCTAGGGTCTGGATTTGGTGTGGGGATAGACCTTTGTGAGCTGCTGTGGTGGCTGCGCCAATTCTAAATGAATGGCTGGAATACAATTCGGGGGAAAAGCCCGAAAGGCGAAGGACTTCTTTTAGATGTTTTTGAAACCAAAAACGGGTTACTGGACGGTTAGCGTCATCAGTAAAAAGTGGGGCATGTGGGTCAGACTCTTTTGCTCTCCTTGAATGGAGAAAGCTAGGAGAGTTTGGAATGGCTGAGTGGGGAAAATATGTTAAAAATGTAAATAAAATGCCCTTTGCTTATCTGATCTGTTTTGCTTTGCTTAATGAAAAAGGCGAGTGTTTCAGCATTCAGCAGTGTTAGATCAGATATAGTGGGGTGTATTGCGGGATTGAAATTGGATGTGATAGCCATTTCTGAATATGACTCAAGGGTCCTTGGTGCGACAGCGTAAAGGATCAGAGATATGGAAGTTTTATGGCAATATCATTGTTAATAGAGTGGAACAGGTGTTGGATGCTGGTCTGCTTCCGGTACCAAGAGCCGAAATTTCTGGAAAAGAAAGTGAGAGAGAGAATCAGCAATTTGATTTTTGCAAACTGGAACATGTCTAGCAGTCATAATGAATTGCTTTTGGCTGCCGTCCAAACGAGGCGTCTTAGTAAGGGCATAATTGGAAGTGCGTGCGAGCGTCCTTTATTAATGCAATAAACGGTGGCTTCGTTGTCGCAATGAACGAGAATGCTAGAGGCGGACCATTCATCTACCCATAAAAACCGCTGCTGCGACTATGGGGTATAGTTCGAAAGCGCAGATGATTGCTGATTTCTGGGTAGACTGAGTATCTGCGGGCCACGTTGAAGTAAACCAGTGACCTTGGTAAAAGCCGCCGAACCCGACTGAGGGGGCAGAGTCAGTGAATAAATTAATATCCACCGGGGAAGAAATTAGGTCGCTATAGAAAAAGGAACAGCCGTTCCATTGCTTAAGGAAGGAGATCCATAAGCTGAGTTCATTGCGACTGGGTTTAGAAAGATATATGGTATCTTCTAAACCGGGGACCGAGGTGGAGAGCTGAAGGAGGTGAGTAATAAACGGGCGGCCTTGGGGAATTATGCGCATCGCGAAATTGAAATGCGCGAGAATAGATAGCAGTTCGCGTTTGGTGCATGATGGTTTCTCGAGGAAAATTTGAGATAAAGAGATTATACGGTCAATCTTTTCTTTGGGAAGGGATGCTTGAAATTTATTCAAATCTAAGTTGATGCCCAGAAATTCTATGGAAGTGCTGGGACCGGCTGTTTCTCCTCTGCGAGGGGGATGCCTAGATTTTCGAAAACCTTTGGGTGATCGATAGGTGTTCAGCTGGGGGTGAGAAGGTAGGGAAATAAGGAGAAAATCATTGAGGAGATGGATGATATGCGGGATTTCGTAGTTATTAGATAAAATCCAGCATAATGCTTCTTAAGCATATCGAAAATTTTAGGACTACTTTTGCAGCCGAAAGTTTATCGGACTGCAAAGTAAAATTGTGAGCGCCAATGAATGCCAAAAAGGTGCCAGAAGTCTGGGTGAATTGGCATGATTTTAAAGGCGGATGAAATGTCTATTTTTGCAAGCCAAGCATTGCGGCCGGCTAAGCTGATGAGCGAAATTGCTTGGTCTATATCATGATAATTCAGCGAGTATTCGTCTGATGGAATGGTGCTGTTAATGCTAGGAATATAGAATTGTGAGGAGCGGAGACCAATAATCAAGGGTTTTTGCTAGAGAATTCTCAAGTCGCAGTGTCAATAGGACTAATACACGAACGCTGAACAGTGGGGCAAGAATAGTACTATCATGAGTTTATTAACGATTCTTTTTGATTAACGAATTCACTGTTGCAGGTTCGGTAGTCGCAGATTGTAGATTGGAGCAGAATAAGGTTAAGGAAGGGAGAGCTGGAACGCCCGGGTTAGATCCTTGGGTTAGATCTGAAATCAGAAATCAGAAGTTAGTATCAGGGTGACAATGCAATTCAAGCAATTTGAGAAATATGGCATCGTGGATGTGAGCTATGTGAGTGGAAATGCATCCTTTATGTAGAGTGTGATTGTATTTGAAGAGCATATAAAATGTAATGGGTTGGATGAGGGTCAGGTTCTGCAGCCAAATGTCATGGTCTTTTTATTAATGCATGGTCTGATAGCTTGATGTCGCTACGTGCAAGGATGGTAGAGGTGAGCATTCATCCCCCCACAGAATGGCAACTGGATGGAGAGCTGAGGATAAGGGGTATGGTTTGTCTGGTGGTCCTGGAAGTGTATATTGAAGTTCCGTTGTCAGAAATGTCCTCCTATTCATAGCAGCCAATCAGGAAGTTGTTTGTTGCTGTTTCACATCCAACTGACTTGCCATTATAAGCTTACGTAAGACACTAGTGTATGAATAAATGAGTCACTGGTCTAGTGTAATTGGACCCCAGTGCTCTGTGTATAATTTATTTATTTATTTATTTATTATTATTATTATTTTTTTTTTTTTTTTTTTTTTTTAATTGCTAACATCAAACTCTGAACTCTATAAGACTTCAAGGGCGATGTCACCATTTAGTAAAACTGTGAATGGAATGTTAGTAATTGGCTTTACTTTAATCCATGAATAACATTTGTTGGTATCTTAACTTCATTCACAAGCTTGTCTGGTCCAAATTCATTCATAAGACTTGCAACAGAGTCAAGAGAGAGGGCAGGACCTTCTCCAGAGAGCTTATTGGGTGGTGAAGCTTCTCCTTACAGCTATTGGCTTGAAGGAGAGCCAGTCAAGCGTGCCAAAGGTGAAAAAGCCCGGCGGCCATTTTGTTGATCAAGTTCACCATTGTTTATGGCTTGAGCTGTTGCTTGCTGAACATTCCGGCAAACAAGCTGTTAGATGTTATGGATCAGTGGACGGGCAAGAGGCGAGTATCTTTAGTTAAAATCATTGTTTACACTAGTCTTGTTATTCAAAAGATTTATAAATGTTTTAGTCTAAATGTTTGGTAAAGTTATTTTGCAAAGCTTCCCTTCATGTGCATAGCATGTGCACCGCTAGGAAAAAGGTAATGGTTCAGTTTCATTGCAATGGCTTTGGAGTTTTTGGCTGTCATTTGCTGGAGAATAGGGTTGAAGACACAGCGGATGCGTTGAAGTGGAAGGTTTGATGTTTGTTGAAGTCGTTGATGCAATTGTTGGAGTTGTTTTGAAGTAGTAGTTGTTGTTGCTGCAGTTGTTGTTGCTGCAGTTGTTGTTGCTGCAGTTGTTGTTGCTGCTGTAGATTGTAGCTTGTAAATTATAGCTAGTAGCTTGTAGATTATAGCTGGTAATTTGTAGATGGTAGCTGGTAGATTGTAGCTGGTAGGTGATAGCTGGTAGGTGATAGCTTGTAGATGCTTTGGTTGTCCATGCTGGTTTAGAGTAGGTTCTTCAACGGAGCTAGCTACGGTGAAGCTGCCTCTTCAAAACGAAGATAGCAATGGAATAAACCCCAGGGTATTTATAGTAGTTTAGGAGTCATCTGGTTGGATAGTAGTGAATTGGATAATGCGGGTCAGCTGCTAGCAATCATAAGCACGTGATCCTCTCGAAATTTGTTTATACATAAACTTCACTTCTTTGTCATTCCAGATGACTTTATTAATGAGTTATTTGAGTCACTGCAGAGATGTATGGATGCAGTCCTCCAAGCTCATGGGAGTCATACAATATTCATTATTTTTTCACTGCACCATGACTTTATATTTTATTCTGTACATTATTTCTGTTCAGTCACAAGTCTTTTGTCTAGGCAAAGTCAGAGCTTACTGTCCTAATTAAATCTTTAAAAATCAAGGCATGATGGTATTTTATATTGTGGTAAAATAAGCGTAATCTAGAGGCCTTTGCCTTTCATATAAGCCACTTCTGATACAAAATGATCAACTAGAAGTCAAGTTAAAAACTTATCAAGTCAAGCCCTAAAACTTATAGGCGACAAGTTTTTTATGAGGTAGTGTGTGTATGTGTATACAGTTGAAGTCAGAATTATTACCCCCCACCCCCAAATTATTAGTACCCCTGTTTATTTTTTCCCCTAATTTCTGTTTAACAGAGAGAAAATTTTGTTGGCACATCTGTAAACTATCGAAAAATATATAGCTTAAAGAGTCTAATAATTTTGACCTGTTTTTTAAACAATAAAAACTGCTTTTATTCTAGCCGAAATAAAATAAACCAGACTTTCTCCAGAAGAAAAAAATATTACCAGACATACTGTGAAAGTTTCCTTGCTCTGTTAAACTTCATTTGGGATATATTTAAAAAAAAGGGGGGGGGGGGGGGGGAGTAATAATTCTGATTTTAACTGTATATATAAAGAGTTCAGATGAGAAAGTCTTGTGCCATCTGAAACTTTTTTCTAAGTTTCTTAATTTTTTTCTTTTTTTTTTACATTTTCTATTTTTTTTTTAAACACTCAAAACACTTTTTATGTGTATACGTATAAATAAATACGTTCATTGTGCAATGATGTTTTAAATGGACTTAATGTGACTGTAAATCCTGTGCATTTATAAGATTTCTGTCCAAAAATAGCTTGTCCAAAAATCTTCCTAACTTCATTTAAACTTTAACATGTTTGTAGCTCATGTTTCATGATTTAACATGTCTAATTGTGTTTGGAACAGATAGATATTGTCACTTTTTATTGTAATACATAAATGAAATAGCAAAAAAATGCTTTTACCTAAATGGTTTACTCCAAACTGCATCTCAAAGCCATCCGCTGTTTTTGAATATGGGCACATCATGATTCCAGCATTATTGATCAGAATATTGACTTGCTTTTCTTCTGAAAAAAAAATAAATAAAGACATGTTGTGATATATTATATTATATTATATTATATTATATTACATTACATTACATTACATTACATTACATTACATTATATTATATTATATTATATTATATTATATTATGGCAACTCGGTGGCACAGTAGATGCCTCAACTGGGTCAGTGGGGCATTTCTGTGTGGAGTTTGCATGTTCTCCCTGCATTCGCTGGTTTCCTCTGGGTGCTCCGGTTTCCCCACAGTCCAAAGACATGCGTTACAGGTGAATTGGGTAGGCTAAATTGTCCGTAGTGTATGAGTGTGAATGAGTGTGTATGGATGTTTCCCAGAGATAGGTTGCACCTGAAGGGCATTCGCTACATAAAACATATGCTGGATAAGTTGGCAGTTCATTCCGCTGTGGGGACCCCAGGGACTAAGCCGGGGACTAAGCCGAAAAGAAAATAAACGAATGAATATTATATTATATTATATTATATTATATTATATTATATTATATTATATTATATTATATTATATTATGTTATGTTATGTTACGTTACATTATAATATATTATATTATATTATATAATTTATTATATTCCTTCATATGATATTCAAATGTTCTACGCACCCTTGTTTATGAGCTCTGCAAATGCTTTGATGGATTTGGTATCGGCTAAATCAAGTTTTTTCACCACAATGTTTTGGTTTGCAGAATTGTCCATTAATTCTCTTCTGGCAGCCTCTGCCTTCTCGAGGTCTCGACAGGCCATGATGACTCTCGCCCCTGAGGACAACACATAAAAGAGCTGATAAAAACCTGCAAACAGTCACGGACAATTTCACTCAAAAAAGAGCACATATCCTTCATGCATCTGAAATAATTGTGTTTGCATGTTCCGGCAAATGTCCTTGCTGTGAAATGCCCTCGCATAATAATTAATGTGGTGCTAAAGCGGGATGTAAGGCTGATGAGCTCACACAATAGCTGTTTGCTTGGTAATTACTGTGCAGAACGTCCATTAAACTATTCAGAGCAATTTGGCTGGCAAGCATCAGACTTTCTTTGTTGGAATTCAGCGGCTCCATGTGGGAAAGAGTACAGTTTTACATCTCTTTGGCAGATCGTATTGTAATCCTGTCGTTTGTTTATCAGCCTCAATTCAAAGGTTGTAAAAGCCTCTTGGTCTGTTAAAATGAAATATTTGCTCTCTCTTTTTTTAACCTATTTTTGTGAGCTTTTTAAAATAGTACTAATAAACAACATGGATATTAATAATGACTCTTTTCAAAGAGTACAGTTTTACAACTCTTTGGCAGATCATATTGTAATCCTGTCGTTTATTTATCAGCCTCCATACAAAGCTTGTAAAAGCCTCTCTGTCTTTTAAGATGAAATATTTGCTCTCTCTTTTTTAGTGTTTTTTTTTCTGTATTAATAAACAACACTGATTTTAATAATGAATGTTAAGAGTACAGTTTTACATCTCTTTGTCAGATTGTCTTGTAATACTCTCGTTTATTTATCAGCTTCTATTCATAGCTGGTAAAAGCCTCTCTGTCCTTTAAGATGAAACATTTTCTCTCTTTTTTTTATTTCTTTTAAGCTTCTTAAAATAGTAACAGTAAACAACATGGGTTTTAATAATGACTGTATTCAAAAAGCACAGTTTTACATCTCGTAGGCAGATTGTATTGTAATCCTGTCGTTCATTTACCAGCCTCCATTCTAAGCTTCTAAAAGCCTCTCTGTTGTTTCAGATGAAGTATCTGCTCTTTTGTTCTTTATTTTATTAATTTTGTCACCGATTTGAGCCCGGGCTGGGGTAGTTGGCATTTCTGTGTGGAGTTTGCATGTTCTCCCCGTGTTTGCATGGGTTTCCTCTGGGTGCTTCTGTTTCCCCCACAGTCCAAAGACATGTGCTATAGGTGAATTGGGTGAACAAAATTGTTCGTAGTGTATGAGTGTGTTTGTGAATGAGTCTGTATGACTGTTTCCCAGTACTGGGTTGCAGTTGGAAGGGTATCCGCTTTGTAAAACATGCTGGATGAGGTGGTGGTTCACTCCACTGTGGTGACCTCTGAAAACCAAGAGGGTAAGGCGAAGGAAAATAAATCAATGAATGTTTTGTAAGAATAGTTTTACATCTTCTTGGCAGATCGTATTGTAATCCTGACGTTTATTTATCAGCCTCCATTCATGGCTTGTAAAAGCCTTTCGGTCTTTTAAGATTAAATATTTGCTCTTTTTTTATAGCTTTTTTTAAGCTTCTTAAAACAGTATTAATAAACAACATGGATTTTAATAATGACTGCATTCAAAGAGTACAGTTTTACATTTCTTCGGCAGATTGTATTGTAATCCTGTCGTTTATCAGCCTCCATTCTAAGCTTGTTTTTACATTTTTCATTTACATTTAGTCATTTAGCAGATGCTTTTATCCAAAGCGACTTACAAATGAGGACAAGGAAGCAATTTACACAACTATAAGAGCAACAATGAATAAGTGCTATAGGCAAGTTTCAGGTCTGTAAAGTCTAAGAAGGAAAGTATTAGTACTTTTTTTTTTTTGTCGGGTACAGTTAGTGTGATATCCAGAGAGGCAATTGCAGATTAGGAAGTGAAGTGGAGACTTGTAAAAGGCTTGTAAAAGCCTTTTTGTCATTTATGTTGAAATATCTGCTCTCTTGTTAGTTTGTTTTTTAATTTGAGCTTTTTTATCTTAGTAATAATAGTAATAATAAACAATATTGATTTTAATAATGAATTTTTTGTAAGGGGTGGCTCAGTGGTTAGCACTGTCACCTGACAGCAAGAGTCCTGGCTGGACCAGTTGGCATTTGTGGAGTTTGCATGTACTCCCCTTGTTTGCGTGGGTTTCCTCTGGGTGCTTCTGTTTCCCCCACAGTCTAAAGATATGCGCTATAGGTAAATTGAATAAGCTAAATTATCCATAGTGTATGAGTGTGTTTGTGAATGAGTGTGTATGGATGTTTCCCGGTACTGGGTTGCAGTTGGAAAGGCATCCACTGTGTAAAACATATGCTGGGTAAGTTGGTGGTTCATTTCACTGTGGAGACTATGCTGAGGGAAAATGAATGAATGAATGTTTTGTAAGAGTTTTACATCTCCTTGGCAGATCGTATTGTAATCCTGACGTTTATCAGCTTCCATTCAAGGCTGGTAAAAGCCTCTCGGTCTTTTAAGATGAAATATCTGCTCTTTCTTTTTTTTAAGCTTTTTTAAGCTTCTTAAAACAGTAATAATAAACAACATGGATTTTAATAATGACTGTATTAAAAAAAAAAAAACATAAGTTGGCGATTCATTCTGGTGTGGGGACCCCAGATTAATAAAGGGACTAAGCCAAAAAGGATATGAATGAATGAATGAGAACTAAAAAATACAGAGAAAAGTGAAGGGAAGAGGAAAAGGAAAGAAAATTTAAAAATAAAACTAAATAACGGGGCAATTTGAGGTGTTTCTACTAGGATTCAATCACTGCTCTCTCGTTAAAGTACTCAATAAATGGATTCAATAATACATAGAAATTCTTAGTTTTATTTTTAAGAGGAAGTCTTAGCTTCTGAAATTGCAGGCAAGACATGACATTTTTTATTAATGTGGAGCAATGGTGAGGATCTTTTCATTTCCAACTACGTAAAATCAATCTATGTGCCAAAAGGTTTATAAACCTAATCACCGTATGTTGATTATTAGATAATTCTGCATCATTACTGACACCAAATATAGCTAAAATAGGCCCAGAGTATACTTGTTTTCCCACCACTTCAGATATTAACTCATATTACCTGATTTTAATAATGAATGTTTTATAAGAGTACAGTTTTACATCTCTTTGCCAGATCGTATCATAATCCTCTCTTTTATTTATCAGCATCAAAAATATCTCTCTCTCTCTATTTATCTCTCTCTCTCTCTATCTTCTATAAAATCTGTTTTTGCCTCTTTAAAACAGTAATAATAAACAACATTGATTTTAATAATGAATGTTTTGTAAGAGTACAGTTTTACATCTCTTTGGCAGATCATTGCAATGCTCCTGTTTATTTAACAGCCTCCATTCAAAAGCCTCTCTGTCTTTTAAGATGAAATATCTGCTCTGTTGTTCTTTTATTTATTTATTTTTAGCTTTCATCAGATCATTCACAGGGTTTTCCTTTTGTGGTCAAAAGTGAGCTGAAAAGTCTTGAAAACATACAAAATGATGTTTTTGTTTGTTATTTACCTCTTCTCGCAAGGTCTCTAGCTGTCTCTTTGCCAATGCCTGTATTCGCTCCTGTGATAATGACTGTTTTTTCATCCAGACGTACTGAAGAGCTCCACTGGCCACAGAAGAAATTTCTGGAATTGAGCACAGAGCAAATGTTTTGAGATTTAATTTATTCATGAAGGAAATAAAGTTAGAGAGAATGTCACACAGTTCACTGTAGTGAATATTGTTTTAGTTTTTTATATACACAAAATATAAAATGTACATTTTTAGCGTTTTTGAAGATGCAGTTGAAATAAATCATGGGGCATGTTGTCCCATTATATCTCGGTTCAGTGTACAATTAAAGAATCAGCACAAATATCCTGAAACACAAAAATATAATAAATGTCAAATCATTATCACCAAACTTTTACAAAAAAATTTTTATAACTTTTAATAAAAAAAAAATAGTTTGAACCATTTCTGCATGTACACACTTTGAAGTCTTTAATAAATGCTACCATATAGGGCTGGGCCGATAAACAACATTATATCAAATCATGATACAATTTATGTCATAATGATAAGCTCTAGACTTTTCTATATTGATCCAAGAGGCAATCACACAACAGAAATGTGCAACGATGAGATTCTAAAGTGTGTTGATATTATTTTCGGCCACCAAAAAAAAAAAAATCGGCCAAAAATATGATATGCCATTTAGTAGACCATCTAATTATTGTGGCTTCTGTCATTGTTAGGGTCGATATTGAAATATAAATCGTTATCGTTCTATTTGGAAAATAATTATTAAGATTGCATTGTTGCCATATTGCCCGGCCATACCACCATGCATTTCCATTGCAATTGCTCTGGAATAGTTGTATTTAAGTCAAATCAGACTTTATGAAGTAATCACAACTGAATCTTTTTCATAAGGATTTTCTTGTGGTACAATAAGTATTAAACAGTTCATCAAATCAGTTAAACTATTATAAAACATCAGACCATTGATTGAATTTAACAATGAATTTAATTTAGGAGAGTTTTTAATGAACTGAATAATTTCTGTATATACACAAACTTTAAAATCAATCTACTAAAAATGTATTATTATTGCTCAGACATTAAGATGCATTTTTCTGTTGTTTTGCCACAGCATCTTTTGCCATTAAATTGCATATTAAAGGCTTTTCCCAGAAATATCGGTGAAACAAAACAATTAACTAAACAGAAAGATAAATACTTGTGATGCAGACTGCAATCTCCAATACAATGTATTATCTACATCGAAAAAAATTTATAGTGTAAATAATTAATATAGTAATTCATGATTTTTGTACACTTTAAATTGAATTCATATGTATTTTGTAGCTAGTTGTTTTTAAAACAAATTCCACCTCACAGTAACTGGATAAATGACTAATCTTAATTTAAAACAGTTAATGTAAATGGGACACCTTGAAAACTTATTTGACAATTCTCCATGTGACAATTGCCCAATTCTGCATGTTAAAATTATATGAACCAGTTTTATCAAACTTGTATAGACATAGCCTAATAAAGCCTAAATGCATTTAGATAATGATATAGGCTATCCTGCTGTTCTGTTGTATATCGAAAAACAAAAAAAAAAAAAACTAATACTCTAATGAACAGCGAACGATTCATATACTTTGGAAAAGAAAAGTTCTGATTCTTGCTTACCTTATGGAGTGCATGGTTTCAGTGTTGTGTGTTGTCCTCAGCAGACAGTAGTGCTGCGCGCTCCAGCGTCCGCTGTGATTTATGAATGGGTTATTATTACTATGCGGTCTGGACTGATGCTCCGCCTGTCCACAGCTCTGTCGTCGTCTGGCCAAAGAAGCGCGTCCCACAATTCTGTATTTGTAAACGTGCTACGCGTTCATGCATAAATGTGCTCGCTCGGATGGCCTGGACTGGACCTCCAAATGAAGCTGTGTTAAATTCAGCCTCTTTTGCAAAGTTGGACATTCCGTCACACATCCGCAGAACAAACTAAACAAAAACGTCATTGACTTACAGATGAGCCAAACTGTAGAAATGCAGTGGGTTTGTGTGTCCACTAGATGTCCCCGTTTATTGTTTCTCTCACAGACGTTCACCTTAGTAAAGGTAGCCTAAATTCAATTTTCGCGCTTTATTTGGAGATGCTATTTTGTTATTTTCAGCTCAATCTAGCCTGCACAACACATTTAGCACAACTGTGTTTCACCTCCAACACTTTTTGGTCACTCATCAACTCTTTTCCCGCCTCTTCACCGGTGTGTACCAACTAACTACAGTTTAACATACTAGCATACTGCGGTTGTCGGGAAAAAAAATGTATACTTTGTGCTTCGATAATTGATATTTTGATGCGACCGTGCTTTACAAAACCAGCCTTACTCTAGGCGTTGCAGTGGTGAAGTTTTTCATAGTAAAAAATACGTTGTAGTATGGCCAAAATGATTGATTTTATTTCAAATAATAATAATATAAACAATAGTCATTTATTCTTTTTTTTTTTGTGGTCAGGGGTCACCACAGCGGAATAAACCGCCAACTTATCCAGCATATGTTTTACCCAGAGGATGCCCTTCGAGCCTCAATCCATCACTGGGAAACATCCATACACTCTCATTCACACACACACACACACACACTACTGACAATAGCTTACCCTATTCACCTATAGCAGGGGTAACCAATCTCTTTCCTGGAGGTCCAGTGCTCTGCAGGGTTTAGCTCCAACTTGCCTCAGTAACTGCAGAGCATATGCATGCTAATAATAACTAAAAAAATATGTGGTATGGACACTACTATAGTTGTCATTGATATGACTGTATTTCATTGTCAAATGACAAAAAACATAGCCCTCTATTATTACATACTTCATCATTACAGTTTCAAAAACTGCACAGAAGAAACATTCAAACTTGAGGATATTATTCCTGTGAAATCCTTTAGGAAATTTCCAAATAAACCATGGGTTACAAAATCACTTAAGACTCTAGTTTAGTTTAAAGTTTTATTGTCCGTTCTGCTTGACACAGAAAGGAAATTTGTCTTCAACATTGGATTTAAGACAACAATTACAAACATACAACAACCACACAACTCTGTCAAAACATAGTAGGGCCTTTAAAGAGGGAGATATTGTTGAGTTTCATTAACTAAAAAAAGAAGTTAAGTGGAAAATTAAAAAGGCTAAAGCAGTATATAAGGGAAAACTTGAAGAAAAATTGAAAATGGGAAATGTGGGTTCTGCCTGGGATGGCATACATTTAATTACATGACAGGATAGTAAGAAAACAAATAAAATTTGTTTAAATGAATTCACGTCAGACACAGGTTTTTCACAAAATTGTAATAATTTTTATTCAAGATTTGATAGTCATGATTTTAAACAAGAAATAGAGAGGGTGAAAACTGAATGAAGAGTAGACAAATAGTACAATTTCATATTTTTTTGATGTAAAGGACGTGATTATAAGTTTTAAACAGAGTTAAATAGTGATGGCACCAGGACCGGATAAGATAGGAGCTAGATTGCTTAAGGAATGTGCTGAGCAGTTGGGACCCATATTTTATGAAATTTTTGTTTTATCTTTTCAACAACAAAAAGTACCTGCACTGTGGAAGCAGTCTATAGTTATTCCTGTGCCAAAAAAACAGAAGCCACAGAAAATAGAGGACTTTAGACCTGTGGCACTTACATCTTTAGTAATAAAAAGTTTTGAAAAGATAGTTTAGAGGGAAAAAATGCAAGAGTCACAGTGTTCTAGATCTCTTTCAGTTTGCGTATAGGCCTAAGAAAGGGGTTGAGGATGCAGTAGGGACTCTGCTGCACTTAGTAAGTCTAAAACATTGGCCAAGTTACTTTTTACTGACTTTTTGTCTGCATTCAATACCATTCAGCCACATATTATGGTTGAGAAACTTATTAATGAATTTGAATTGGATCGAATGCTTTTAGGTTGGATTTGAGACTTTCTTGTACAGAGGACAGAGGGTTAAGGTAAATAATTGTTTCTCTAAATGGTCAGTGTCAAAAGGTTGTGTCCTTTCTCCTATATTATTTATTTTGTACACAAATAGCTGTAGGAGTATTTTTAGCAGTTATATTTTAAAATTTGCGGACAATTCTGTAATTGTTAGTTTGTTAAGTGAGGAAGACTCCACGCATGGTCCTGTAATTGATTATTTTTCCAGCTGGTGTCAGGAGGCTTTCTTACAAATGAATGTTCTTAAGACTAAAGAAATGACTATTGGTTTTAATCGTAAGAGGAGACTGATTAAGGGTAAGCAAATTAGTATTAATGGAGTGGGTGTTGAGAATGTTGATCAGTATAGGTATTTGGGAACTGTTTTAGATAATAAATTGTCCTTTTGTGTTAATACTAATATGTTGTGTTACGACTATACTGTTTACAGAAATTAAGATCTTTTAATATAGACAAATCACTCATGTGCATGTTTTGAAGTTCATACATTCAGTCACTGTTATCTTTTTCTTTGCTATGCTGGTTCAATTCTCTAAGTATGAAAAATAAGTTGTCTGGAGAGAATTGTAAACCTAGGAGGAAAAATAACAGGGAGAAAACAGATGACCATGGCTCAGTTAGACAATAGACAAGTTTTGAGTAAAGCTCAGAGTAGATGATTCCCATCCTATGCACCACGAGTTTTATCTTCTCCCTTCTGGTATTCGATACAGAACTCCTATTAGTAAAACAAATCGGTTTAAACTTTCATTCATTCCCTCAGCTGTAAAGTTTTTAAATTTAGGGTAGAATTAGTATTGTATAATGTACTTTTGTGTATTATGTGTGACATGGTTGTATGCTGCAACCAAATTGCCTTCGGGAAATGAATAAAGACTGACTGACTGACCAATAACAGTCCAGAAATGATTCTAAATTAGCATAAGACAGGAATACAGATAGAGCTCAGCTGGGGCTGCTGCTGAAACTGAGTAATTATACATCTTACAAAGGGCATTAGCATGAAATAAGGCTGCTGTGCAGTGCCAGTAGGAGCTCATCTCCAGCGAATGCCCAGCAGGTGGCAGCTGACAGCCCACAGTTTGCTGGCGGAGTTGTCGTCCTTAGCAGCCCTTGAGCACGAGGCCACCGCACAGTTACTGTGAGAGATCATGAGAGGAACTACTTTATTAAACCTCAGCATGAGGAAATTTAGAGCAGTTCATTAGGTTGGAGCCAATTTTAGCCTCACAAGAGCAAAAGAAAGAGCATGTGAATGGAAAAGATGATCATCAAGATTATTTGTAGTTACCCTACATTTTTAGGTTGAATCACTCAACTTTAACAAAAACAGTTTGTATAGCTTTTAAAATATGTGAAATTAACAAAAATACATGTTGTGAGCACATACTTTTACATAATATTTCACAGTGTGTACAGATGAAGTTCAAACAAACCTGTAGTAGGATCCAGTTGGTAAATCTGGAGTAAGAGCACAGTAAAGCGTGGTATATGCACCCTCAGCAGGGGTTTTTATCATGAAACCGAATGTCTTCACGAAGAACTGCACAGGCTTCATCAAATGTCTGGTGATATCTGTATTCACCAGGCCTGGATCCACAGCATAAACCCTCACTCCCAGCTCTACCACAGAAAAAATTATAATAATCTTGATGAACTACACTGCAGTTACAATCATTATTAAGAGAATATTTGTGGGTAAAACATGAGACAGTCACACTGGAACAGCATGCTTATGAATTAGCAATGCATTACACAGCAGGTTTTCCAGTTTAAAGAGCACTCCTAATATGGCAAGCTGTTTTAATCCAAAAATGAAAATCACCTCATCATTTGCTCTCCCTCGGGTGCTTTTAAACCTTTATGAGGTTCTTTCTTCTGCTGAACACTAAAGAAGATATTGCTTGTAAAGAATGCTGCTTGCTGGCACCCAGTAAAATGACTATGGAAGTCAATGGCAACCAGCATTTATCAAACTATCATCTTTTGTTTTCAACAAGAAAGAACCTCAAATAGCTTTTAAACATGAGTAAATGATGACAGGATTGTCAATTTTGGATGAACTGTCCCATTAAATGATACTCGTGCTTATTTGTTAGATAATAGTTGTTGTTGATATTCGAGTACTTTTTTATTCTAGTACTGCACCTTTTATATAGACACTAGTTATATTCAGTATATAGTACTTACATAATTAGAGTAGGTAATCTACTCATTAACTCAATAATAAACTATCAGATAATCACATAGGTTAGATCCTTATTGATTATAGCTATTAGTACACACTTATTAGATACTAATTTGAAATGAGTAGCGCCCTTTATGCCGATGATGATTATAAAATCATGTTTTTTGCATTCCACTACACTGTTCTGTCATTGCTTAACATTTAACATTGCATAATGACACAGCATTTTAAAGACATTTAGGTTAAAAGAAGTAAAGATGTATGTAGAAGTAAAGCTTTCTAAATATATTTTATTGCCTAGAACAGCAATGTTAAGAAATCCCATAAGGACACCACATAAATATTTCAAGAGTTCACACTTAGAAATGCTTAGCATTTATAGCAGGTTTGGCATGCTGTCCCAGGAGAGAACCCTGAGCTCGGAGATATTTGAGCCCAGGGCTCCCGCCCGGTCAATAAGCATATCAGAGGATCCGAGATCAGGTAGGTCTTGATAGTTCCCCCTTTTGAAAGGGAAGAAAAAGGAGGAGATGGGGTGGAAGGGGGGATTCTTCCGAAATGAAGATAGGGAAAAAGGTTAGAAAGTGATCCATTTATAGTAAGCTAGGATCACTCGGATTGGACTATTACTGATTAAAAATGAGTGGCCAGCTGTGCTGCTCCTCACCTGCTTCTCTTGAAATTAGTTTATGAAACTTCACTTCTCAAAAAGACAATGACATTTCAGAACAAAGACGGTACTGGCTTGACTATTGTGCCAAGTGTAAAGTTTGGTGGAGGGAGGATTATGGTATGGAGTTGTTGTTCAGGGTATAGGCTTAGCTGCTTAGCTCCCGTGAAAGGAACTCATAATGCTTCAGCATATCAAGACTTTTTTGGGATATTTCATGGTCCCAACTTTGTGTAAAGAGTTTGTGGATGGCTGTTCCAGCACAAATCTGCACAAAGCACGATCCATTTAGACATGCGTGAGCAAGTTTATGGAGGAATTTAACTGGTCTTCACAGAGTCCTGAACTCAACCCGACTGAACATATTTGGGATGAGTTAGAGCAGAGACTTAGTCATCTGTAACATTAGTGCCTGAGCCTCTTAATTGCACTTCTAGAAGACTGCTTAAAAATTACTAATCCTTGTGGAAAGCCCTCCCAGGAGAGGTGAGGGTGCTTAGGGTGGGGTAACTCTATTTTAATCCCTACAAATTAAGATTGGGATGTCATTAAAGCTAACATATACATGTAAAAGCAGATGTCCCAAAAACTTTTGACTATATAGTGTATATCTTGCCATTTCAAGACACAAAAAATTATCTTAACTTTTGTTTTGTGAAACTTTATTTCAAATATATAACAAATATATATCAAATATTATCATAAGTCAAATATATCAATACAGCAGCATCAATGTGTTAATACCTACACTACCTGACAAAAAAGTCTTGTCATCGATCCCAGTTGTAAGAGCAACAAATAATAACTTGACTTCTAGTTGATCATTTGGAAAAATGGCAGAAGGTAGATTTTTCAGATGAATCATCTGTTGAACTGCATCCGAATGACCACAAATACTGCAGAAGACCTACTGGCACCCGCAAGGACCCAAGATTCTCTCCGAAATCAGTCAATCGGTCAAGTTTGGTGATCAAGCTGATGGTGATGAAGGTCAATGTGCTCCAGGATTGGCCAGCCCAGTCACCAAACATAAACATTATTGAGCATGTCTGGGGTCAGATGTAAGAGGAGGCATTGAAGATGAATTCAAAGAATCTTGATGAACTCTGGGAGCCCTGCAATAATGCTTTCTTTGCCATTCCTGATGACTTTATTAAAAAGTTATTTGAGTCATTGCAGACATGTATGGATGCAGTCTTCCAAGTTGTTTTGCCTAAGCTAAGTCAGACCTTACTGTCCTTATTAAATAATTTATAATCAAGGCATGATTTTATGATATTTTATTTTTATAGATTAAGCGTAATCTAGAGGCCTTTGCCTTTCACATAAGCCACTTCTGATACCAAATGATCAAACTATTATTTGGGTGATATTATTTTATTATTATTTTATCATTAGGTGACAAGACTTTAGTCAGGTAGTGTGTATTGTAAACACTGCATCAACAGATGCTGTAAAACATGTGGGCGCAGTGGTCTAACATGTCTGCTGGCACATTTTGAGTATAGAAAAACAATGGAAATGCAGCTTAGTGAAATGACTAGAAGATTGGGTTTGGAATCTGATTTTTTGGATGCCCTTTATTTTTCATAAAATCAGATCACTATTCTTACCTTCCACTCTGGAGGCAAGCTCTCTTGTGAAAAGTATGTTGGCCAGTTTGCTCTGTACGTAGGCCTTCACTGGATGATAGTTTTTCTCACTGTTCAGGTCCTCAAAGTGGATCTTTCCCATGGGATGAACAAGTGAGGAGACATTAATCACTCTGGAAGGAGCTGAATGCTTCAACAGATCAATAAGCAGGAATGTTAGAAAGAAATGTCCTGTAGAAGAAAAGGAGTCATACATCACATGTCAAGAATGAACAGTCTCTTTAGTTTCTACAGAACAAATACGGACTCTTTGATATTCTCTGAGAGAATGAGAACGGCTAGAGTACTTCATCATACCTAAATGATTGACTCCGAACTGTGTCTCAAAGCCGTCTACTGTTGTAGAGTAAGGGCAGATTGCCACTCCAGCATTATTAATCAGCAGATGAAGAGACTTTTCAGCTGAAATAAAATAAGATATACTTAAATAAATGTAAAGGAGAAATAATTGACTAAAAAAAAAGTCAGGTTAGAATTGATCTACTTGGTCCTGTCACACAATAGAAAATATTAGCAATTTTTGTGCAATTGTAGCCGAAGGTTTTGACATAGTTACTTTGTTTAGATTTTGCTATTCTGATATTTTTCTATCTTGCAATTCTGATGTTTACATTTTACAATTTTTATGTTTATGTCTTGGCTTTACATCTTGCAAATTCTGATTTTTGCATCTCACAATTTTGAGCTTACATTTAATTTTTTAAATCTTATTTAAACCTCACAATTCTGGTGTTTATACTTTCCAATCCCTGTATATATTTTTACATCTGACTGTTTGCATCTTGCAATGATGAGTTTTTGCAATTGAGAAGTTTACATCTCACAATTCAGTTTCAATTTAAACAATTGCAACAAATCTTGCAATCAAGAAATGTTTTATTTATTGAGTTCACAGTTCCCCAGGAGATTATTCCCCAAGTTTACATCTTAAAATTCTAATGTTTACACCTAGAAATTCTTCAAGCTTGCAGCTTGAGATGTTTACGTCTTACAATTCGCTTTACAACTTTGTTTTGAGTTTAAATCTCACAATTCTAATGTTTGCATCTCGTAATTTAGATGTTTACATCTCAAAATTTCACTTTACGTCTCCCAATATAGACAATTAAATCCATCAATTGAAGTTTACATCTCGCAATTCTGATGTTTACATTTAAAAATAAAGACTTTACATCTCACATTTAAGATGTTTACCACTCACCATTCTGATGTTAACACCTGAGTTGACATCTCATAATTCTGATGTTTGCATCTGCCCACTCATGTTTACATTTCGCAATTCTGAACTTATATCTCAAGTTTACGTCTCGCAATTCTGAGTTTCCTCCCCAAGTTTAAAATTCTTAAAATCTTATAATTCTGATGTTTACATCCAGAATTTCCATAAGCTTTCATCTCACAATTGAGATGTTTATGTCCCACAATTCTGATGTTTACATCTTCATCTTGAGTTTACATCTCACCACTCTAATGTTTGCATCTTGTAATTTAGACCTCACATATGTTCAGATATCTAAATCCACTAATTCAAGTTTACATCTCGCAGAGTTGACATCTCACAGTACCAAGTTTAGCTTTCACAATTCAACTGTTTACATATCACAATTCTGAGTTTACATCACAAGTTTACATTTTGCAATTGTGAAGTTTACATTTCACGATTCTGATGCTTATATCTCTCAAAAAACAATGAATATCTTGCAAATCTGCCTTTTTTCAGAATTAATTGAAAAGATTTAATTTTTTTTATTTAGATTAAAGCGTACAATTACTTTTTAATCATCTATTTAATTATTTTTAGGCCACTGTGTAAACCTGCTTCAATTATTCCTAACTCACTGTTATAAATGAGTTCAGCAAATTCACAGATGGATTTCGTGTCAGCCAGGTCTAGTTTGCGAACGACCACATTGGCGTTCTCTACGTCTCTGCTGATGTCACTGGCCGCCTGTTCAGCCTTGACCAGGTCTCTGCAGGCGAGGATCACTCGAGCACCTAGGATTAATAACAAGTTTTGTTCTATAAGTTAAAAAAACTAGTAAAGACATATACAGTACAGCACAAATTTAAATATCAGATCAAACTGTGACACGCAGTCAAAAATAATATAGCGCATCTGTTCCTCAAAGAAAATAAGCCTTGATGCGTTATTTCCAGTGTGTGTTAATGTTTGGCTACGTTACCTACCCCGATTTGCAAGGTCCTTCGCTGTTTCTTTCCCAATCCCAGTGTTTGCTCCAGTCACTATAGCAGTTTTTCCATCTAGGCGAACATCAGATGACCATCTTTTGATAATGAGTCCCCTGAAAGGAGTTTATTCGTTTATTAAACATTTAAATAGCATTTTGCTGATAAGAGCAGTTGAACAGTGCTAAAGTAACGCTTAAAATAGAGAGACTTCAGTTTATAATCATATACAATATGCATATTAAAATAGAAATTGAATATAATGTGTATAGTTTTAATCAACTTATTAAAATAATAACTGAGAATAATTAATGAATATTAATATGTGGTATGGCATTATGGTGGCGCAGTGGGTAGCACGGTCATTGGTTTGAGCCATGGGTAAGTCAGTTGGCATTTCTGTGTGAAGTTTGCATGTTCTTCTAGTGTTTGAGTGGGTTTCCTCCAGGTGCTCCGGTTTCCACCACAGTCTAAAGACATGCAGTTTAATTGAATAAATTGAATAAACAAAAATTTTCCATAGTATATTTGTGTGAATGCAAGAGTGTATGGGTGTTTCCCAGTGATGTTTTGCAGCTGGAAGGGCATCCGCTGCATAAAACATATGCTGGATAAATTGTCGGTTCATTCCACTGTGGTGACTTCTGATTAATAAAGGGACTAAGCGAAAAGAAAGTGAATGTATAAATGAATTAATGAATGAATGAATGAATGAATGAATGAATGAATGAATTTTTTATGTGAAAGCCATTTATTTATAAAAAATATTATTTGTTTAGTAAACTCTTTTAAATCATAATTTTTGACAAAAGGTAAAAAACTAAAACTAAACCCAACAAAACAAGACATGGAATTATTAATTTTAAATGAAATTCATTTATTTAATTATATTTATTTACTACTACAACTAATAAAAAAGTACAATAATAAAAACAGTGCGTGTGTTTGAGTGTGTGTCTGGAAATTTCTTTCAGTGCAGAAGAAATACTTTCGACAGACAGACTTTAGGTTGTAATCCTATATGAAGTCTATTGGGATTTTGATAATTCAATAATAATTTGAATTATCTGCAACAACGACTATTAATAATATTTATACTTTATGCTGCCATAACTACTCTTACTACTACTACAACTAAAAATAATAATATTTACTTCTTTTTTTAATTAATTATTTAACCAAGAATGTCCCATTGAGATACAATATCTCTTCTACCAGAAAGTCCGGGTCAAGACAGACAGCATAGGACAGAGTTCACAACACAACACTTAGACACGCTCAAAAATATAAACCATAAATTAATTGTTAAAACATGTGCACTGCTCTAAATTGACTGTCTTTAAAATATTTTTCAATATAGCAATAGATGGTACGGATTTTATATGCATTATATCTAAAAGCTCATTCCATACATATGGAGCATACGTAGAGACGCAGATCGACTTAACTCTGTGTAAAAAAAATGCCATCCTAAGTAAGAGTATATCTGCTGATCTGTTATTATAAGTATTTGTGCAGTACTCCAGCAAACTAGATGTATACTGTGGTAATTTACCAATAAATGGCAATATTTTAATATCTCTAAATCATGCAAGTGATACATAAAAAGCCCCTTACCTTAATACACTCATTTTCCCAATGCTCTTATTACATGTGAACCATGCAGCGAGGAGGAAAATAGCTACTCTTGACTGATACGAAGTGTCAAAATAAATGCTCAAGTGTCATTTGTACTTGAAGAAGGAGGGCAGAAAATCCCCTCTCTTCTCTTGAACAAATTGATCATGTTCAGCGAGGAAAATAAATCCATTGAATCTGTTATTCTGCATGTAATCTGAAAGGCCAAGCTGCTAAATAAAGCTGAGCAAATTCCAGGAAACTTTCCTTCCTGTAACCCTTAATCAATAGGAGTATTTTGTCAAACACACTGCTGTTTTATTTTATATAAACATTCCTGAGCGACCACAGTAGATCTGAGCGAAGCGTCAAATAGGCATAAACTACAGACCAATGGCAGAGAGCAGTTCAATCTGAGAAGTTTGTTTATTTATTTAGATTTTTAAACAGAATTCATGAATTCTTGTTTACTAAAGTTAGTAAACAGTTGCTGACAAAATTAGTTAAATATCTGCATAATAAATAACTAAATATCTGTTCAGATTTTAACAAATGATAAGGATTTTAAACAGAACTTTAAACATATTATTATTAATAGTACTAGAGGAATGTATTTATATATATATATATATATTTTTTTTTTTTTTTTTTTAGTAAGTTAATTATTTATTGTTTATTGACAGTGAGAGCTGTTCATTCTGAGATGGTGGGAATCTTGGATTGATTTTTCATCTTAAGAAAAAATAAAAAAAATCAGGTAGTTTCCAGGCAAGCTGGAGGAGCATCTGTGTTCAAAACTGGAGTTCTCCCTTTACCCGATACACACATGATGAGTCTGAACACGACACAAACACCTGAACACTGACCACAGCCCTTGTGTCTGGGAGATCTGTGTTTTATATTCACTTCATCGATATGAAGTCAGTGAATAATTAATTAATAAAATTATGAGCAGATTGAATGCATAGCATTAATGCCATTTAAAATGTTAAGCTGCTTTAAAATTTTCAGATATATTTATTTGTTTATTCATTAAAACAATTCAACAGCAAAACTGATAAAGGGCTTAAATATTTATGCATCTTCACATTTAAATAATATTAATTATTTGATTATTTTAATGTTATTTACATTTCTTTACTAAATCACTAATCATATATATTTTTAAGTAGCTATATTATAATAAAACAAATAAATATCTGCATATCTAGGTAAGCATTTTATTCCAGTTTCTTTTTTTAAATTGCTCAGACACTAAAAGTAATATTTGACACCCACTTAGTGAATCCGTTCACTTAGGGCTGCATGATATTGGAAAAATCTGATATTGTGAATATAGTTGACGTCTGAATTATTAGCCCCCCCTTCAAATGTTTTCCTCTTTTTGAAATATTTACCAAATGATGTTTAACAGAGCAAGAAAATTCACAGTATGTCTGATAGTATTTTTTTTTTTCTCGAGAAAGTCTTTTGTTTTATTTCGGCTAGAATAAAAGCAGTTTTTAATTTTTTAAACACCATTCTAAGGACAAAATTATTAGCCCCTTCAGGCTATTTGCTCGACTGTCTACAGAACAAACCACTGTTATAACTTGCCTAATTTCCCGTACCTAACCTAATTAACCTAGTTAAGCCTTTAAATGTCACTTTAAGCTGTATAGAAGTGTCTTAAAAAATATTAGGTAATATATTATGTACTGTCATCATGGCAAAGATAAAATAAATCAGTTATTAGAAATGAGTTTTTAAAACAATTATGTTCAGAAATGTGTTGATCTTAAAAGCATAAGAAGAAATTAATAGTTTTACAGTTTTTTTGGATTGCTTAAGCACGATTTACAAAACAGGGCCCAAGTTTTCAAAACAGTACACACAATTAGCACAACCACACACCCAATTAGCAAAACACTACAGATCCTTTGCATAATTAAACACTCTTATAAAAACTATAGACTTAGGTTTAAAAACCACACTTTTTTACCATAAGAAACACACATTTTCTATACTTTGTTTGCACGAGTTACACACTGCTGTGATAAACCTAAAACACTTTTAGCACTTCTGCTTCCCTATGATTAGAGTAGGCTACCATCAACAAAGTACAAATATAAAGTAAATTCACCAAAAACTACTCAAGACCAACGCTGCACACTGAAGAAACTAATTTATTTCTCAACATGTCCACATGGAGATTCATAGTACTATAACATGTCACTTTTCAAATTGTATTGCAAGTTTATGGTTACAAAAAAAAACAACAACAAAAAAAAACAACAACAACACACACACTAGACATTGGGCCTGTTTCAGAAAGGAGGTTAACTGAAAACTATTTTAACCCTGAAATGAGAGAAACTCTGGGTTTTCCGTTTCAAAATGGCAGGTTTGTTAAACTCGAGAAATCAGGGTAAGTCAAGCCTGTTTCTGAAAGAAAGGTAACTTTAACTCAGAGTCAGTTACTGTGGTAACTTACTCTGTGAATCTAACCTGGTCCGCAGCAGGTTTTATTCTCTAAACTCTGAGTTTCTGTCGGTCTCCTCCCCTTTTTTAAAGATGAAGCGGTATTTCTCGCCTTAGCCTTAGGTTTCCACCCACCTATTTTTATGCTTATTTTGGATACGTGCATAAAAACGATTGATAGAAACGTCATGATGCACATAACTTTTTAAAATATGCATAAAAAACGCGCATAAATGAGTAGGATAAACTTTTATTCGATAGAAAATGTGCGCATAAACTACGATGGAAACACTTTTACTGAACAAATTACAGTATGTACATTAAAAAAAGATCATGATCATATGATAATGAAAATGTGTATAAATGAACAAACCAGCAGGCTGAGCACACTGTAAATATTGTTTTAGTCATTCTAAAATGCCTGAACTGTTTCAGTATTAGTGTATATTATTAATTACCTCCGAATGTCTGGTGCGTGTCAAGAGTCTCCACGTCTCATGGCATCAGACGCCCCCACGTGTTCATTGTGTTTCAGCATTGTCTTCTGACATCGAGGCGCAAGTACATTAATTAGGCTAAATAAAGAATTAATTGACGCAGCTTCTTCTACCACAGTAAATTCTGTTTTTACTGTTGATATTTGGTGCCAGTTTAATCAGGAAGTGACGATTTTTTTCTCTTTGACTCGTTGGATGGAATTTTATTCGCATCTTTTATGCAATATTCCAGTTTTGCACATACATTTATGTAATATATTTGGATGGAAACATAGATATTGCCTACATTTTAGTCACACACAGAAGAACTGTACGAGAATGGCTTATCCTTTTTTAATAAATAATTAAATTAAATTCACCTTCGACATGCACTGTAACTAGATTAATGGGATTATTATTCTTTCTAAAAATTATTTTTAGTACTGCTTACCTTCTAAATGTTATATTAACCTCTATCACTTGATCAATAAAAAAAGGCAGACACACAAGTGCACTGTTAAATCATTTAAAACTAATAAATGTATAAAAGAAAAGTTTAGAAAAAAATATATAAACGTCACAAATTACATTACTTATTTTATTATACTTAAATACTTAAAAAGTGAAATTAGGCATTAACTTGAGCAGCTGTTTTCCCACGCTAACTGTCTCTTCTTCACTGATGGTTGCTTCTTTTCAAATATATACCCTCATATTTGCTATAACTTTGCATGAGAACATCAAGTTCAGCTGGAGAAAGAAATGCTGATCTCTTTTATAAGATATTGCCATAGTCACTCGTAATGCCTGCGCTCCATTGATAATGCCTTTTTAAAGTCATGGTGTGCGCGCTTAACTCTGAGTTGGTCTACTCGAAGTTGATTGACCCAACTCAGATCAGCTATTCTGAAACCGAAAACTCAGAGTTTTTAATCTCTCGGTAAATCAACTCAGAGTTCAAGTTTAAGCTCCGAGTTGTTTGAACCTCCTTACTGAAACAGGCCCATTGTCTCTTCGTCTAGCTGGATCTGGCCAGAGAATTATCAACAACATCGCAGGCAATGTTGTCATAAGCAAGACACCTTGGAAAGAAACGTCTTGAATGACGAATCCATCCTTGGATTGATGCTACTTCCATCTGGTCACAGGCCTCCTCCATGGCTTGGATTAAGGGTATGTCAGCCTGGAGACGGAGATCATGTACCTTCCATCGCCATGCCGAGAAAAACTCCTCTATAGGGTTGAGGAATGGGGAGTATGGTGGAAGATACAGGACGGTGAAATGTTGATGTTGCTCAAACCAGTTCTGAACCAGAGCAGAACGATGGAAAGACACATTGTCCCAGACAACAATGTATTGTGTATGACTGATTTGGTTTGCTGCTGTTATATTGTGCAATTGGTTCAAGAATGTAAGTATAAGTGCTGTGTTGTAAGGGCCCATATGGGCATGGCGATGGAGGACCCCATTCTGTGTAATGGCTGCACAGAGTGTTATATTTCCCCCACGTTGCCCTGGGACATTGACTATAGCCCCGTAGCCATGATGTTTCTTCCCCTCCTTCGTGTTCTCGTCAGGTTGAACCCAGCCTCATCTACGTAAAGGAACTCATGCTGGATCTCCTCTCCATCCATTCGTAAAACTACCTGTAGAACAGTGTCAGGCAAAATTGTGTAGTTCAGAATAGATCTCGTATTACATATTACAGTACAGTAAAAGATTGAGACAGTATGCAAGATCACACTGCAAAAAGTAAATGCATACCTCTGCATAATCATGCCACAGTCGTTTCACCCTTTCTGAATTGCGCTCAAAAGGCACTCGATAAATTTGCTTCATTTGAATGTGTTTTTTTTTAGAATATGTGCCAGTGTTGATATTGAAACCTGCTGGATATCATTGAAACTGGCATGGTTATTGACAATGTTAGCTTGGAGCTGTTTGAGTGTTATAGCATTGTTGGCCAAAACCATGTTTACTTTCTCCCTCTCTTGCTGTTCTGTGAACATAGGAGGCCTTCCCCCTTGTTGTTCCCGACCCTCAATCCTATGTAGAAAAATAAATAAATAAAAACAATAAACAATAGTGCAGTAATTTCACAGGACAAGGTGACCGAAGTGCTGATACTGCATAGAATA